TCCCGGGAAATTCTACCAAACTTTCAGAGAGGATTTAATACCTATCCTTTTTCAAGCTATTCCAAAAAATTAGGGAGAATGGAACACTTCCTAACACATTCTATGAGGCCAACATCACGCTGATACCAAAACCTGACAAGGACACAACGAAAAAAGAGAACTACAGGCCAATATCACTGATGAACATAGATGCAAAAATTCTAAACAAAATTTTGGCAACCAGAATTCAGCACCTCATCAAAAGGAGCATACATCATGATCAAGTGGGATTCATACCAGGGACACAGGGATGGTTCAACATCCGCAAATCAATCAATGTGATACACCACATCAACAAACTGAGGAATAAAAACCAAATGATCATCTCAATAGATGCAGAGAAAGCATTTGACAAGATCCAACAGCCATTTATGATAAAAACTCTGAACAAAATGGGCATAGAAGGGAACTACCTCAACATAATAAAGGCCACATATGACAAACCCACAGCCAGTATCATACTCAATGAGCAAAAACTGAGCGCCATCCCCCTGAAAACAGGAACGAGACAAGGATACCCTCTATCACCACTATTATTTAACATGGTACTGGAGGTCCTGGCCAGAGCAATCAGGCAAGAAAAAGGAATAAAAGGTATCCAAATAGGGAGGGAAGAAGTGAAACTCTCGCTGTTTGCAGACGACATGATCTTATATATAGAAAACCCCAAAGAATCCATTGGAAAGCTCTTAGAATTAATCAACAACTACAGCAAAGTTGCAGGGTATAAAATCAATTTGCATAAATCAGTAGCATTTCTATATTCTAATAACGAAATAGAAAAAGAACTCAAGAACACAATACCATTCACAATCGGAACAAAAAGAATAAAATACCTTGGGGTAAATTTAACTAAGGAAGTGAAGGACCTATATAATGAAAATTACAAGGCCTTTCTGAGAGAACTGGATGACGACATAAGGAGATGGAAAGACATTCCATGTACATGGATTGGAAGAATAAACATAGTTAAAATGTCCATTGTACCTAAAGCAATCTACAGATTCAATGCTATCCCAATCAGATCCCAATGCCATTCTTTACAGAATTAGAACAAAGAATCCTAAAATTTATATGGGGCAACAAAAGACCCCCAATTGCTAAAGCAATCCTGAGAAAAAAGAACAAAACAGGAGACATCACAATCCCTGACTTCAAAACTTACTACAAAGCTACCGTAATCAAAACAGCATGGTACTGGTACAAAGACAGGTGCACAGATCAATGGAACAGAATTGAAAGCCCAGAAATAAAACTACACATCTATGGACAGCTTATCTTCGACAAAGGAGCTGAGAGCACACAATGGAGAAAAGAAACTCTTTTCAACAAATGGTGCTGGGAAAACTGGAAAGCCATATGTAAAAGAATGAAAATTGACATTCTTTTTCACCATTCAGCAAAATAAACTCAAAATGGATCAAAGACCTAAAGGTGAGACCCGAAACCATAAATCTTCTAGAAGAAAACATAGGCAGTACACTCTTTGACATCAGTATTAAAAGGACCTTTTCGGACACCATGTCTTCTCAGAGAAGGGAAACAACAGAAAGAATAAACAAATGGGACTTCATCAGACTAAAGAGCTTCTTCAAGGCAAATGAAAACAGGATTGAAACAAAAAAACAACCCACTAACTGGGAAAAAATATTTGCAAGTCATATATCTGACAAAGGCTTAATATCCATAATATATAAAGAACTCTCACAACTCAACAACAAAAAACAAACAACCTGATCAAAAAATGGGCTGGAGACATGAACAGACATTTCTCCAAAGAAGATATACGGATGGCCAATAGGCACATGAAAAGATGCTCATCATCGCTGATCATCAGGGAAATGCAAATCAAAACTACACTAAGATATCACCTTACACCCATTAGAATGACAAAAATATCTAAATCTAATTGTAACAATTGTTGGAGAGGTTGTGGAGAGAATGGAACCCTCATACACTGCTGGTGGGAATGTAAACTGGTGCAGCCACTATGGAAAACAGTATAGAGATTCCTCAAAAAATTAAAAATAGAACTACCATATGATCCAGCCATTCCACTACTGGGTATCTATCCAAAGAGGTTGAAGTCAGCAATTCCAAAAGTCCTATGCACCCCAATGTTCATTGCAGCATTATTTACAATAGCCAAGACATGGAAGCAACCTAAGTGCCCATCAACAGATGAATGGATAAAGAAGTTGTGGTATATATATACAATGGAATACTACTCAGCTGCAAAACAGAACAAAATCATCCCATTTGCAACAACATGGATGGGCCTTGAGGGAATTATGTTAAGTGAAATAAGCCAGTTAGAGAAGGATAATCTCTGTATGACTCCATTCATATGAGGAATTGAAAAATGTGGACAAAGAGAACAGATTAGTGGCTACCAGGGGAAAGGTGGGGTGGGGGGTGGGCACAAAGGGTGAAGTGGTGCACCTACAACACGAATGACAAACATTAATGTACAACTGAAATCACACAAGATTGTAACCTATCATTAACTCAATAAAAAAAAAAAAAGAAAATTTAGCAAAATCTACTGTGTAGGTAGAACTTGAAGATGGCTTCCCAAAGATGTCCCGCCCTACCCTGTGGAACATGTGAATGTGATTAGCTATCACTCCCTAATTATGTTGTCATAGGGCACAGTCCACCTTACCATAGGGAGATTATCCAGGTGAGCCTGATCGAATTACACGAGACCTTTCAAGAAACTGGAGTATTCTCCAGCTGGTAACAGAAGAGGACATTAGAGAAATTCAAAACACTGAAGGATGTGGCATGCTGGGTATGAAGATGGAGGGAGCCACGGGTAAAAGAAGGTAGGAAACCTTTAGGAGCTGAGAGATGACCCCAGCAAGCAAGGTAACCTTAGCCCAGCGGCAAGGAAAAGTGTTCTGCTACCAGCCTGAAGGAGCATGGCAGTGGATTCTCCTCTAGTGCCTCCAGATAGGAGCTTAGCCTGTCATTCTGATTTTTGGCTTTTTAAGACCCAGAGCAGAGAATCCAGTCAAGCCTGCCTGCACTTCTAACCTACAGAGCTGTGAGGTAATAAATGGGTGTTGTTTAAAACTGCTAAGTTGTGATCCTTTGTTATGCAGCAACAGAAAGCTAAAACATTTACCATAAGCCAAAATGCACATAAACTCAGATCCAACAATACCACTGCTGAAAACTGACCCTACAGATACACTTCAAAATGATTCTTATGATATGAGTCCAAAGATATTCACTAGCAGTTTGTAAAAAGAGAAAGAATAAAAATGGAAAGAGCCGAAGTATCCATAAGTAGATAAACTGTATAAATCCATAAACTGTATAACTTTATAGCCATTACAAGGAAAAGGTAGAACTATATTGATGAATATGAAACAAGGAAACTGTAAGTTACATTAATAAGAGAAAAAAATCTGAAACAGTGTTATGATATTTTTTATAATTAAATTTAAAGGATCAACATAAAATCAAGGTATCTGCATTAAACATTTTTCCAGAAAAAAACCCAAAAAAATAAAAAGCAATTAGCTTTGGGATAGGATTAGATTGAGTGTGAGGTTTTCATTTTTAATTTTATTTATACCTTTCGTTACATTTTGAATTTTCTAATGAAGTTTATTATTCTTATTAATTTAAAAAATAATCAATAGATGTTACTTGTCAGTGTCCAGATAAACACTTTGCTGGTTCTCCTGCAAAGTTATCTTCTTTTGTGTTATTCAACTTGGACCTGCCATCTGGAATTTGTCATCTGTGCTCCTTTCCTCATCCATGGTAAGACCAAAATCACTTTTCTTCAAGTCTGCCCTACTCCTTAAACGTAAGTTTCTTGGTGACAACCCTTATTAACTGTGCTTCATTTGCATTTATGTGAATGTTTATATGTATTTATAATATTTAAGTATCCTATTTTAATTAAAATTATAGGCTATTCAATTGCTTTTAAAGTTTTAGACTGTATCTATAATTTTTTCATAAGTATATTGAAAGCTACTTTAAGATATAGATCATAAATAGCATAAATCATCCAAACATACAGTGTACCTAACACAGACAATGCCATCTTGATGCGGATGATCATGATCTAGGAATCCTGAAGTAATATGGTAATATCAAGAAATATTCCAATAGCAAGCAAACCAGTATGATAAAATGGGACCAATTATCCTTCAATAATGGAAGAATTATGTGGACAGTATTTAATGGGTAATCTACAATATCAGGTTTACTCAATGTATATTAAAGTTAGAAATATTTTTCATATCCCTTTAAATTTCTTCTTTTAAAATGAGTAAATAGTTGTTAAAGGTAACACAGCAAATAATTTTCAGTTATTAAATATTGTATTTGTAAATATTATCTCTGATTTTCTACAAAAGATGGATGCATAGTGAAAATAACTTAAAAATATACCGTTATCAGTTAGAGGTTATCCTTGTTTGTTGGCAAAAGTTGTTAACCAAAAGATCTGGAGTTTTTGAAAGTCACAATAAAGAAATACAAGGATCACTTCCTTTGTCCATACATAAAAGAGGTTCATAATTTGTAGGTAACCCAAATCACCATAGGATTATTATATACAACCAAACGAGAGGATGTGTGGTAACCAATGAACTAAATATAAGATAGTATGATCACTGTTAAGAAGTCAAACTAAGTAGACTTTTTCTAAACAGCTTTTCTCACATAAGCATTATATATAAATAAATTCCATGTGTAACTGCACTGCAATAATGTATCTTCTCTTAAAAAAAAAGGTTGGCTGACATTTTCTAGAAAATAGTGAAGTGTTATAGACTATAAAAATACTGAGTATGTGTACAAGCTCTTTGTCATCAGGAAAATGTTAAACGAAATCCTTGGAAACTTTGCAAGGAGAAATCAAAGAGACTGAAGATATAAAAGTAATAAAATATGACATTAAAATGTCATTGAGGAAACCTCTAAAATCATATTACCTGGAACCAGTTCCATAATGATGTAGATAGGCTGTCTTTGTGTGCAAACTCCTATAAGTTTGACAATATTGGGATGATCATATTGCTTGAGAATTCTGGATGAGAGAAAAGTATAATAGTTATGATTTAAATACTAAAGCATTAGTTTATGGTCATGAATAGTGTGCACAAGTAGAATACACTTTAATCAACATAATTCAATTTTTAAAACTTCAGTATGAACCCAAATTATGATAAATGGGATATATACAATTTTGATAAATATTGGCAAAATACAGGGACAAATGAGTCAATTCTCCTTAATTCAGTTAAATATTTTAAAAATTATTATCCACTTGGAATGACTAACAACCATGCTAAATAGGAAAAACTTACTTAGTCTAAAACATGTAGAACTCCCCTTCAGAGTATCTGGCTTTAGGTACCACCACAAAGCATAGCTGAAAAGAACTAGTTGACCCAAAACTCTAGGCTGCTAGGGTAGCATCTTTTTGTTTTGTTTTATTTTATGCACATACTTGATTTAAAATACATAAAAATAGAACTCAATTCATACTGGTAAATTCTCTAGAGTGATCACTTCATTAGATTTCTTAATAAATACTTTTTTGATGATCATGATCAATTTCAAGGTAGTAAAAACTCAAAAGTTTTGAGAAAGCTGGCAACAGGTTTAAGAACAATTGAGTAACAGTTTCAATATAGACTTAAGCTGAAGCAGAGAAGATTTAGTTTGGATAAAGGCAAAATTTTATCAGAGGGCTATAAAACTGGCATAGACTCATCCATAGGACTCCAAGCACAAGTTAAAAAAAGATTAGATTCTCTCAGAGGCCTGTCTATCATGATGATTTCTAGTACCAAATTTTATTCCATATTATCCTATTGACATAGTTATAAATTCACTCATATTTGAAAAATGCAGTTTTCTTTCCTGAGAGACTGAAAAAATAACTATATGGAGAAAGATAAAACAGTTTACATGTTTCGTACATGCACAACTAAAGCAGAGATAGCTTTAAGAAAAATGTTTTAGAGTGAAAATACATAATGACTCATAAATGAAAAGGTAAAACTGGGAAGAATTCTAGAGATAAGGGAAATATTCTGTCAATAACTTTGAGCTTCCAACTTCTACAAAAAACTAAAACTAAAGTTTTAGAACGTTTAACTTTAATCCAAAATGTCATTTCTTAGGCTGGAAACTGCCTAGTAAAGAAATTCCACAAAATAGCCAGCATGAACTCAAATAGTACTGAATATCTAAATATATAGCTCTATTGTCTATTAAAGGACACTAGGGAGTTTGCATGGATATAGTTTTCATTTTTAACATTAAACTTGGTAACCTCACTTTAGAAGAGGAAATTAAACGATTTGCAATAAAATAATCACAAGTTAGAAAGCAAGAAAATTAAATATTTTTTAAAATTTTAGATACAACCTTGTACCTTAAGAATACCTATGAATAACTATAAAATAATAAGCCTATAAATTTCAATTGTGATAGCATGCCTTTAAATTTATTAGAGAATATTTTTTCTGAATTGCCAATAATATACATAAAAAAGGTTTGCAACTTTATTCTGTAGATAATATTTAATAAATGCAACAAACTAGCTTAATCCATTGCTAGCAACATTCATTTTTAGATGATGAATGAAGAAATGTACATCAAAATTCTTCATGCCATGGGACTTATTTTTCTTGAGCTACCATGTTCTCTGTTCTCCCACAGCACTATACAGAAACTTCAATTTTATGCATTATGCCATGGTGGAGAATACACACACACACACTGCTTTCCTTCCCTATACACCACAAATCTGTGGATCTATGGATCCACGTATCCTCCTTCTCTCCCATCCATCCATCCACCCATCCATCCACCCTTCATTCATATGTCCTCCTCACTCTGGCCACAGCACCTTTCTATTTGTCTTGTGTTTTGTTGTATATATTAGATTTTACCACTAACAGAAAAGTTTTAACTATCTGCAAAATAGGGGATCGAGTTGGAAATTTTAGCTAACAAATTTTAGCTAATAATACAAGAAAAGAGAATTATTCCAGATTAGAAAAGAAAAATATGCACATTTTGGAACAAATGCCATACACTCAGTTGAAGAAATCTGAGGTTCTCAGAAAAGAAAGCTAACAGCTGAGAAAAGAGAATCAGTGACACTGTCTAAGGAGGGTAGAATAGAAGTAATTATCTAAATAGATATATGTAAATTATACATTTTATATACAGAATACAGTAACATTCTCACTATTAGGACCACACTGGATATGCACATATATACGTATAGGCATGTGTGATAAAAGTAAAAAATACTGCAATATTTTTAAGGACATGACAAATATTCAAGTTTTTAGCATCCGGTTTTTTAGCATCTGGTTCTTTTGACTGTGATTGCCTAGCGGATCTATAACCTAACTCAAAAACATAGAAACTTTTTTTTCCCCACACTATAGAAGTGCTTACTTATGAGGGTTCTAAAAGTGCTTACTTGTACTTCAGCAAATCATAATTTAAGATATCTTCAAATTTACATTTTAATGAGTTATTTATATTATTAAATACATATTTTACGTTACTTTAGAGAACTCACTTGGCTTCTTGTAAAAATTTTATTTTCAGTTCCTGAGGAAGATCTTCTTTACATGTTTTAACAGCAACAGCAGTTTTATCCTTTAATATGCCCTTATATACTTCACCGAAATTTCCCTGGAAATACAAATACATTTATTGTTTGGGATGCAGCCACATAAATCATTGCAAAATACAAGGAGAGTGCGTAATAATGCATTTTGAGTTAATCAAAGCATTCTGTTAGCTTTATTGAGTTTTAAGTGGATATAAAGATTGGGAAGGTTGCCCTTACCAATCTTCAACTTTAAATATACTACCTAACACACCAACCATTGGGGAGATTGAGGCTTGAGGAGAATTGAAAAGGAAAACGGGAAAAGTAAAATTGAAAGAGAATAGGATAAAAGAAGAAACTCAAGTTGACATTGTCAGAAGCACATTAAGTATTACTCCACCTAGTTCCCTTTACGTCCTAAGCTCTAAATTTTACTACATTTAAAAACTATCCATTAATGTATAAAAAGAAAGCAAAGATCCTGTGAGGTGACTGTAGGTATTGATCTGCGCAGCCTACGTCAGGTGGAGGAGACAGGGAGAGTAGAAAGTAGGGGGGAGGCAACAGACCCAAGGCAGATGAAAGACTATCAAGAGCTACCGCCATACGCTGTCAGTCTCTGAAAGGTACCAAGCAAGAGGAGGTGCCAACCCAAATGCCAGTGTCCCCCTGTGAGGAACTAATTTCTATCAAATGTATGAATTTCTAACCTTATTCTTTGACCAGAATATATTTTGACTTAAAATGCCTTATTTCCAGTTTGAAGTCATTTTTCTTTTATTATAAAGACAAAACAAAATATTACAAAGAAGATCTATAAGGTTAATACAACAGCTATTTTTCAGTATTCCCTTCAAGTTTTCTATGTATGCATATGTATTTTTTACATAGCTATAATCATAAGATGCAAGAATTATATTAAGCTTCAATGCTACTGTTGTTGAGCAAGAAGTAACTGAACTAGGACTCTACTAGTTATTGAGTTTGAGTTCTAAGATCAATGTAACTCTTAACCAATAGTTCAAGGTGTATAAACTTTACATGTCATTAATAAATAATTTAAAGTTTTTAAAATATTTTAAGTATTACTTAATATTTTTACTTTTTATTTTACTTAATATTTTAAGTATACTTACAGTAATGAATAGTATTCATTATTATTAAATCTAATATTCAAGTATTTATTAAAAAACAATGATTGATCATCTTTTCATGTAAAGTAAACATACTATGAATACAACATAGTACACATTCATCATAAATTAGAAAAAGGAAAATTTGAGCTTTATAGCTTTCCTTGTTTGTTATTCTCACGGCTTTTTTTCCCCACACAATTATCAGATCATTTATTATATCAGAGATAGAGCTGAGAAAAGATATTATTAATATACACGATTATTGCTGGGCCTCTATTTATCTGAATAATTCTGAAGCACTTATAAATCAACTCGTCTAAAACAATGCTTTAATCATTAGAAGACTTTTCCTGGCTAAATTACCTTTTTCATTTACTAAGACCATTATTCTCTCTGTAAGCATTCAGACTCTACCTCTACAATACTTTTGTCTTCCTCTTTGCATCTCAGAAAGGCCCCCCCCAAGTTAAGATCTCAATTTTCTCACCTAAACTGATCTCATGGTCAGTCCTACTCCCTCCAATCCAGCCACCACAGCACTGCCAGATTAATCTTTCCAAGAGACAACTTGCATTATACTATTGCCTTACTCAATATCCATCCTTCAATTACCATCACTTTCTCAGCCTCTGTCTAGCTCCACATTACAGCCTTCAAATGTTTAATGTGTCCTAGACTCAAATACTTAGCGATCTCAAAATATGTGCCATTCCTTTTCTATAACTTTTTCCTCTGGAAAACCCACCACTTTCAATCAGGGAAAATGCTAACTAATCTCTAAGTCCATTTCTTATGCCCCTTCCTTCTTGATCTTTCCAAAATTACATATCCTGTTCCTGAACACTTATCATTCAATTGTCCCTTTGTACCTTTATAATGGTTTCTGCCCTATGTAACAGATCTTAGCACATATGAGGCACCTGAAAATTTTAAACATTCATTCAACAATTATTACTCAGAGAACTTCAATTCTATCAATGGTGGTCTAGCGGGGAATCTCCAAACACCAAGAAAAAAAAGACTGTGCTTCCCAGACCGCCTCTTCTCCATCCAAAGAGGTCAGGAGGAAGCTAGGACACCCATCACTCCCTACCATTTAACAGGCAGAGTTTCATCTCTGCTACTGCCCTTAAGTCCATGAGGCAAAATCTCATTGTGCCCCTTGTCTGTGTTTATATCAGTCCTCATAAGATCTTGGTCCTACGTTAATCCTCATCTCCCTCTCTCTAATCCTCATTAGATTCTGCACACTTCTATTCAACACTCTATCTTCTATTTCTCTTCTATCCCCAAATTCCACTGTGCCATCTGGAATTCGTGGTCCATCATCATCAATTTTTATCTTCAATCTATTCTTTGGTCATTCTCTTCACCTTCTTATTCTAACAGAAATTTGGCTCTCACTTGAGAACACTCAACTGGTGGCTGAGCTACCTGTTGCCTTCTAAACTTAAGTGATGACTCCTTCCCCCTCTCCCCCATCATCCTCCTCCCACTGCCCTGGAGATGGAATCAAGTATTCTACTAGCTCCTTGTTACTGCTTTCAAACCATTTTCCCTCCTGCCTTCCTAAAAACCCACAGCTTTGACGTGTTATCATTCAATTATATACCCACTACCCCTTACTGTGGCCATCAGCTATTGAATTCGAAAATATTTTATGTTTATTGATCATTTGAGCTCCTGGCTCAGTGTAACCAGTGTTATTCCTGTCTTAGTTCTTGGCAATTTCAATACTTAAAGATCATTCCAACATTTCAAACTCTCAGTTTCTTGAACATCTCTCTTCCAATGATCTTGTGCTCCAATCTATTTCCTAGAATCATACCTTAAACTTTACCATTGCCAATAATGCAACTTCTCTACAATATCTATTTCATTCCTCCCATTTTCTGGCTGGCTTCTATTTTTCTAGCTTATTTCCTCCAATACACACGCTTCAAAAATCCTTTGACCCTACAGGAATCTCAAATCTTTAGATCCTATCACTTTTTATTGTCCATCATCCATTAATATTCTCTCTTCTTTCCTTATCCAGCTTAAATTCTATAATCAATAATTACAACAACTGTTTACCATAGATTCTCAACTTTGTTCTTCTTAATCTCTAGAACTCCCTTGTCAAATCCACAACCCTGATTAAATGCAACACTCTGTCTACTCTGCACCTATGCAGCTGTATGTGGCTGGAGAAAATCCACAACCACGTTGACTGGTTTCACTTTAAATTCATGAACGCAAACCTCAGATGGGTCCTTAATGCTGCCTGGTAAACATATTACAATTCTCTAAACCATTCACATTCTCATTCTTCTAACAGTTTCTACCTTGTTCTCTCTTCTCAAATTCCCCATACCTCCTCCTCTATCTTCATTCTTAGCTGATAATCTTGCTTCCTACTTCACTGAAAAAATTGGAGCAATCTAAAAAGAACTTCCAGACTCTCAGCCTCACCTACCAATTTTCCCACCTACCAATCTTTCTTGCTGTTATAAAAATGAACTACTGTGTTTCCATTAAATTCAATCCTCCACTGTAAACTAAATCTCATCCCCTCTTAACTACTCAATGAGATTACTCCAGCAATGCTCATCTTTCCCTTCAAAATAATTAATTTTTCACTAGAACATTCTCAACTGCAAACCACCATGCTATTTTTTCTTTCATGTTAAACAACAACAACAACAACAACACACAAATCATTCTCTTGAAACTATCACCACGTGTCTCTGCTTCCTTTTGAGGCAAAACTTCAGAGTTACATCCTTGCCATCTCTAATTCCTCTCCTCCCATTCTCTCTTAAAACAATTCCAATCTGGCTTTCACCAAAAGCACTTCAATGAAACTACTCAGCCAAGTTACCAGGGGCCTCCTCATTGCTAAATTCAACGGTTAATTCTCAGTTATCATCTCTTTTGAGCTCTTAGCAGCACTTGATGACACTGATCACTCTCTCCTCCTTGGTCAGACTTGATATCCAACTGTCTTCTCTTTCATCTTCACTTGGAAATCTAATAGACAAAGTCAATACATCCAAAACTGAACTCTTAATGCACTTTCTGCACCTACATTGACTCCCCTCTTTCTCCCCTGCCCTATGTATGGATTCCATTGGGATATTCAGTTGGAATCTTGTTCCCCAAAACCTTCTGCACCCATGCTGACTCCCCTCATTCTCTCAAGCCCCACATAGGAGTCCACTGTGATATTCTGCTGGTTCAACCTTGAAAACATTATCCAGAATTCACCACTTCTCACAACCTCTATCATCACCACCCTGATCCAGCAACCACCATGTTTTAGTTACCTAAGTGTAATTGCTTCCTAACCTTCCAACTCATCAGCTATTCTCAACACAACAGCCAGAGCGATCTTCTTAAAAAGTGAGATCATGCCACTCTTCCACTTCAAATCATCCACCAACTAATTTTTTTCACACATAATCAAAGCCTAAGGAATTACAATGGCCTAAAAGGCCCTACATAATATATAATCTCACCATCTCACTGACTTCCTCTCCTATCATATTCCTCCTTGCATATTCCGTTACAGACAAACTGTCTCTGTTGCTCTTCAAATGAAATTTGCATTGCTTACTCCCTCTGCCTAGAACCCTCTTCCTCAAATGTCCCCGCAGCTAAATCCCTCCCCTCCAAGTTTTATTCAAAAGGAGCAATTTTAATAAGGCTTACCCATATTTCCCTATTAAAAATTGCAACTCTGACCAATAGCACTTGCAAATTTTTTCACAGGACTTAGCACCCTCTAACATTATAAAATTTATCTATTTATTATGCTTATTATTTATCTGTCTTCTCTTGCTAGATAGAACACAAATTCTACAAGGGAAAGAATATTTGTCTGCTTTGTTCACTGATGTTTTCCAAATGCCTAGAAAAGTGCCTGGCACATAGTAGGCATTCAACAAATATTTGAGGACTAAATAAAATATTTATTGAATACCAAATATATATCAAGTACAGTCTACGAATAATAAAGTGCTGAATAAAAAATGTTACAGTCCCTTCTCAACCTTATATTACGACAAAATGCCAAAGTCCATTAAGTGCAGGAATAATTGCTAATTCTCTTTTACTCATGTACTCTCCAGTAGTATATTGTAAATATTTATTTGCCAAAGTCCATTAAGTGCAGGAATAATCGCTAATTCTCTTTTACTCATGTACTCTCCAGTAGTAAATTGTAAATATTTATTTGGAACAGGTAGTGAAAATATTAAATGACCAATCATCTTATACTCAAAAATATTAACTGAAATTAAGCCATACAGTGATTCTAAAGTTGTAGTCTTATTAAAAATGATTAAATTTATTGAAACTGGCATCATTCTACTGCCTTATCATTGAGAAAATAATTATTCTTTGAAATAGCCTCACCGAGGAGCTAAAGGCTAAAATTCCTCCTAATTTATATTTCATATATTAAAATAAATAATTGAAATATTTGTCTTTAACTGAAAATATTTTTTCCTCAGTGAAAAATCTGTTCTTCTCAACATATTCTATTTCAGTAAGTAGTTTAATTTTACAATTTATTATCTAATCATATTTTCATGGAAATTTAATTTCTTTGTAATGATTTTTAGCCCAATCACTGCTACCAAGTTATTGATCTAAAGTAATGGAAAGAAGGAATATTTCCTTAATGCAAACATATCACAAAGAAAATTAAGATACATCAGCTACTGCTTTTAGCTTGAGATTCTTTAGAACTTCTTACTAAATAAGTATTAGCAGTCAATAAAAACTGCTTTCCAACAGCAATTTAATGCTTCCATTTGGAAAAGATATTTTAAAATAATAAGAATCCTGCAAAGTAGATGATTTCAACAGGGATTTACCTTCTAAACATACATCAAAGCTAAAAAGCAGGGAAAAAATTGTCAACTCATCAAGTTTACATTTGAATCAAAAGAGTAAGGATTATTTAATTCTTAAAATGCTGAGCTTTAAGTCTAGCACTGATCACTCAAAAATGTGTGAGTGATAATCTTCCCTAATGATCTGGATTTTATACTATTTTTCACATCACATTATCAACCTAAACTTAATTCAAACTTTCATATGAAAACATCATTAATTAAGTCATTAACAAAGAAGTTAATATTTACTTACTGGAACTCAATTGTAAATAAACAATTATTAGTAAATTTGAAAATAGTCCATTTGATTAATAATTATCAAATGCCTGCCATTATTGTTCGACATAATCTACTTTCATACGACCTACGAGATGCAAGAAACTTCCAACTAGATTGGAAGACAGGAACTTTCATTATATATAGTTGCCCTCTCTGACGACTAATAGAGTTAACTACAAAATGAATATTTATATTAAAGCATGTAGCTTGTCCACATAATTTTTAGATTGAAGTAATGTGTCCTATGTTGTTACATACTTTGATTCTATATACAATCCTGAAATCCCAAAGAGCCGTATTTCACTTTTTCTAAACTATCACGTATAATCAAAAACAAAGTGAACAAGACTATTACGCATTTATTTAAACTTATTACCTCATAGTTTCTTTTCAAATCTCAGTTCACTAGTTTTAGTTTTACTACACTGTAGCAAAATCATTATGGCTTTTAGTCCTTCCAGAGCAAAACATATACATACATACTATTTTTAAAAGAATCATCCTTAAGCCTTTCAAAGATTTTTACACATATATTTCAGTGAACGTCACAGTATTTTAACAGATATGGTACTGTGTTCTTCTAGGTTAATGTGGGAATGTGCCTTACTGTGTGCTGGAATATAAGAAAAGTTCTGAAGAAAATGAAGGAATCTGCAGAGTTCACAATCACTATAAAGATTTTTGGTTATTTAGCTTAGTTGATAACGTACCTTGCCCAGTAATTCTCCCAATGTGACATCTTCATGATTGAGAACCCATTTCTTATCCTATGGTAAAGAAAAAGGACAGTTTTTTAGCCCAAGTAAGAGTACATTTCCTGTAAGATGCACCTGAGGCAGTAGGAAATAGACCTAAAGGCAGTGGGAAAATATTTCATTCAGACCATTCAATCAACAGCACACTAAGAAAAGTTGTAACCACAAGAGGCTATAAAACAGATTTCAGAAATGATACTACACAATAGGGCTTTTAAATCTACATTATAGCAAACTTCTATTGGAAATTTCACCTTTCAAAATGATAGTCTCCCAACTAGAACCCAGCATGCACTTTCCTCCCATCATAATGCTTAGGCTATGCTATTATTTGCCACTTCAAAAAGTTGTATCATAAACACATGAGGGAATTTCATTTTACAATGCAAAACTGCAATTCTCACTTGATCACAGAGAATTAGTTTTCTACTGAAACCACATTACTAAGAGCTAATTTTTCCACATATAAACTGGCCATGAATTATAGTCGTTTGTGACACTGCATGTAGTCCCATATCTTTCCCAAGTAATTTCCTGAAGTATAATAAAGCAACAAACATCAATTACAATATCACTAGGGTACACAAGACCACTGATGCGAACATGCCATTATAAAAGAGCATTCCATTATCCGATCTCAAGAACTAATTACTTAGGGAATATTTTATCTTCTAAAAATCCCAGCTATTATACCATACAATACCATAATGTTAGAAAGACATATAGATTTTTTTAAAAAGAAGGAAGGAAAAAGGAAAGAAGCAAGGAGGGAGAGAGAGGGGGAAAGAAAGAGAGGCAGGAAAGGAGGAAAGTAAAGTAAAAATCCACCCTAACTATGCCTTAAAAATGTCCTGGACAGCCATTTGAAGTACTTCACCTTTTGAAACACCAAGTGACAAGCACTTGACCACCACCCTCTGCTAGGTCAACAAAGGGAACAACACTGATTTTTAAGAAAACAACAGTTTACATATACAGTCTTTCAATCTAAATATAAAGCTAGAGATATAAAGTTCATGGAAAAAAACAGAAAAATATCTTCACAACCAATTGAGTAAGCAAAGATTTCACATAGGACACAAAAAGCACTAGTTATAAAAGAAACAAAAATTGGAATTCATCAAAATTAAAAAACATTTATTTTTCCAAAGGCATCATTTGAAAAATCAAAAGGCAAACTACTATCTGGGAGAACATTTTTGCAATACATATATCTGACAAATAATTCGTGTGTAGAACATGTAGAGAACTCATACCTCAATAACAAGATAACCAACAACCCAGTTTTAAGAAATTGGTTAAGTTTTGTAAAAAACTTAAAATAAGATGGACAAATAGACAACAAGCACATCAAAAGATGCTTACCATCATTAGTCATCAGTAACATACAAACCACAAGATGCCACTTCATACCCATTAGAATACTAAAACTACAAAGACGAACAATACCAAGACATTGTGAGGATGAGGAGCAACCGGAGTCCTCACACATTGTTGGTGAAGATGCAAAATGGTACAATCATTCTGGAAAACAGTTCGGCAGTTTCTTATGGAGTTAAAACTACACCTACCTTATGATTCAGAAATTATACTCGTAGGTATTAAGCCAAGAGAAATGAAAATACATATCCACAAAAATATGGATCAAAAAATGTTTAAGGCAGCTCTATTTATAACAGCCCAAAACTAGAAACAATCCCAATGTCCATCAAAAGGAGAATTGCTTAACAAATTTATTCAATTACTATTCAGCAATAAAAAGGAATTTACTACAACACATGCAATAGAGCATTTGCAAAACATTTTGTCAAGCTAAAAAGGCCAGATATTTTATATACGTGCATACATACATACTGATTCCATTTATATAAATTTCTGGAGATGGACAATTAATCTATAATGCCATAAATCTGAGCAGTGGTTGCCTGCGGCAGGGGATGGGGAAGACTGACTGCAAAGGGGGAAGGAGCAAATTTGGGGGGGTTATAGAAATGTTTAATTTCTTGATATTTCATTGAACTATATATTTAAAGCCTGTACATTTTATTGTATGTAAACTATATCCATAAAGTTGATTTTTTTAAATGAAAAATTAGAAAAGCAAAAATTGTTTTAAATGCTACTTTCTACTTGAGTAGCACTTTCAGGTTTAATTTCCCCTCCACACATATTATCAAAAGTTATTCTTCAAAGAATGTAGTCGGGCAGGCAGGAGAGTATTATTTCCAAGTTGCAAAACTGATCTAGTGAGAGCTTTTTCATTTCATACAATGGTAAAATAGGTGAATCTGACCAATGCTTCCACAACAAACCACTGAAAAAGCTAGATGAAATGTAAAAACAAAAACAAAGCAACACAAACTTCTGTTTGAGAGGACCTGGAGAACTACTGAAATAGAGTAGAACTAAGAGGCCAAGTTTAGGTCAAAAAAAGAAGCCCCGTCAAGACTTTTGGGGCTACATTACCTTAAGTCCATACACTGATTGTGACGGTAGCAGCCAACAGGCCAAAAAAAAAAATTGAAGTTCAAGGCCAGCAAAGGAGAAGAGGCCCTGACAGAATACCCTAGACTTTTAATAAGGACCTCAAGGATACTGCACTGTGAGAGAAAAGGTAACCCGGAAACGGAAGAATTAAAACCTACTTTCTAGTCATCTCCATCACTGATGGAACCAAACTAGGAATTGGCAAACTAAGCCTGTGGGCCAAATTGGCTCACTGCCTGTCTTTGCATAGCCCATGAGCTAAGAATGGTTTTTGCATTTTTAAATGGTTAAAAAAAAAGGAAAAAGAATACTAATACATGACACATGAGAATTATATGAAATTCAAATTTCAGTGTCCATAAACAATAGATCAATAACAATTAGCTACTATATGCTACAGAGAGGGGAAAAAAGAGTGGAAAAATGAACAGTTCCAAAGACCTATGGGACAATACCAAGAGGTCTAACATTCATATCAAAGTCAAAAGAAGGAAAAGAAAAGGAAATAATATTTGAAGTAATAATGGTCAAAACGCCCCAAATTTGGTAAAGAACATAGACCTGCAGACTCAAGAAACTCAACCAACCCCAAGAATGAAAAACTCAAATCAATATCTAGATACAATATAATCACATTGGCTAAAACCAAAGACAAAGAAAAAAAAATTTAAGCAGCTACAGCAAATGACCCATTATTTACAGGAGAACCACAATCAAATGGAGAGCAAGAAGAAATGAAATAACATTTCTAAAGTATTAAAAGAAAAAAACTGTCAAATTCAGATTTCTATATCCAGAAAAATATCTTTCAGAAATGAAAGTAAAATAAAGGCATTTTTGATAAAGGAAAGCTAAGAAATTTGTTGCCAGCAGACTTACTCTTAAAAAAATTAAGTTCTTTAGCCAGAAGGAAACTTGGAATATCAGGAATAAAGGAGGAATAACAAAACTGTAAATACTGGAGTAAACATAATAGACTTTTCTTTCCTTGAGTTCTTTAAAATGTCCTTTACAGGTTGAAAGAAAAATTACAACATTTTCTGATGAACTTTTCAATTGATGTAGGTGCAACACATAAGAAAAGTACAACAAAGAGGAGGTGTACAGTTCCCTACAGTGATAAAGTTTCTGCATTCCACTTGCAATGGTACAATACTGATTCTTTGTAAACTGAAAAGTTAAATATGTTTTTGGTAATTCCTAGAACAACCACTCAGAAAAAAAAAAGACAAAGCTATATAATCAAAAATACAAAAGAAAAATTTAATGGAATAGTAAGAAGTGTTCAAATAACCTAAAAGATGGTAAAAAAGGGTAAAAAGGGAAACCAAATGAAGACGATAAACAGAAAATAACAAAATGGTAGTCCTAAATCCAAACATATCAATAATTACATTAAATGTAAGTTGTCTAAATACACCATTTAAAAGATAAATTGTAAGAATTTTAAAATGAGTCAACAATTACGGTGTTTAAAAAAACTCTTAACTATAATGATATATGTATCTTAAAAGTATAAGGATGGAAATAGACATAAAATGCAAGCATAAATCATAAGAAAGCTGGAACACCTGTAGTAATGTCAGACAAAGTAGACTGTAGAACAAAGAAAATTACCATGGATAAAGAGGAAAATCACATAATGACAGACGTGTCAATTCACCAAGAAAACATAATTATCCTAAATGTCTGTGCTTCAACCACAGATACTTCAAAATGAAGAAAACATTGACAGAACTGAAAGGAGAAAGAAAATTTCACAATTATAGTTGGAGACTTTAATATACCTCTCTCAGTAACAGTAGTAGAGAGGAAATCAGCAAAGATATAAAATAATTAAATGTCATCACCAATCAAATGGATCAAATTGACCTTTATAATAAAATTTCACTAAACAGCAGAATAAAACCCTCTTTTCAAGGAAAATTCACCAAGCTAAACCATATCATAAATCTTAACCATAAGGTTAAGTTTAAGCCCATAAAACAAACCTTAACAAATGTAAAAGAAATGAGGTCATATAAGGTATGTTCTCTCACAATAAAATTAAACTAGAAATCAATAAAAAAGTTAACAGGACAATTTGCAAATACTTAGAAATTAAACAACACACTGTTAAATGATCCATAGATCAAAGAAAAAGTCTTAAGGGAAGTTAGGAAATTTTTTGGACTGAATAAAAATAAAACTACAACATATCAAAATTCTTGAGATATAGCCAAAGCAGTGCTTAAAGGGAAATTTATAGCACTTCATATTCAAGAACAAGGAAGGTCTCAAGTCACTAATTTAAACTTCTACCTTAAGAATCTAGAAAAATGATAAAAATAATCCCAAAGCTAGTAGAAGAAAACAATAATAAATGCAGGAGCAGAAGTCAATAAAATTGAAAATTCCTAAACAGTAGAGAAATCATTGTGGAAACAGTTGATTTACAGTTGAAATGGAAAAACTCTACCTCAATATCTGGGGATGCCTGGATCTGATTTTTGGCTCTTAGACAAGATAGGGAAGTTAGATTTATG